ATATCACTGTCAATTATACATCAATCGCACTGATGTATGATATACATCTCTTTCAATTATACATCAAACGCACTGATATAGCTATAACTCTCTAATAAAGTTTGAATATCTGATGCTATTAGCATCCAGCAATTATATCACATGCGTGCAGTTCTTTGAGATTTTAACCCTGTTGGGATTCTTGTTGCTGGAATTTTGTCATAGATGTGGCAGAATAAATCTCTAATACAAATGAATATGTTTATTTTTCAAATATATGCCCCATAAAATTTGCGAACTTCGTATATAGTAGGATAATAAAAAATTTTTTTTACAAACTAGATGATCTCGATTTTTTAACCAATCAAATATTTCTGGCCCGCGGGCCACCGTGGGCCCGGCCTGACCCATGATCGCATGGCCGACCTGGTGTCACGGCTTGGGGAGAGACCTGTGTACTTCGTTGCCAGATTTGGTTTTAATCCGTGAGCATTAGGGTATAAAAGAACGTAAGTTTTATATTGCTGGGAGAGTTTATTATAATAAAGTTTATTAGAGAATTCTATCTTTCTATCTTTTTTGTCCTCTCTCATTACATAAAGCGATTCTTATATACATCTATCTAAAATTACCTGATTACCAAGAATGAGGTAGGAATGTGGTAATGGGAATTCACTAACAAGTAGGGATGGCAGAATCATGATTTAAATCGATTTTTTTGATTTAAAAATGATTTACAAATGGTTTAAATCATTAATTCTTATTATGTAATCAAACTATTTTATGTTCAAATTCTGACTTTGAATGCGACTTTCAAATCCACAGAATCTCAGACATATTGTTCTACAACACAATACTAAATGATTTAAATCTGCTTTAAATTGATTTAAAATAAAAATCAGTGATTTTTATCATCGTGATTTAAATTACATGCCATCCCTATATACAAGTACGTATGTAATAATATTACCCGGAAATGTAGTCATAACTGCGATACTAATTAGAGGTAATGGGGACGATGAAAGAAGTACTAATTATAGACTAGATTAGTATATAAAATTTTTTTGCCGTGACATTAGGTACGTACGTACGTAGCCCGTGAGTCATGCATGACCCGTTTGAACACTACAGCACTAAGGAGGAATCGTCGAAGTTACACAACTGATCTGCAGCATATAAAAAAATTATTTTACAATACCAGATCATTCCGTTAGTACATGTTATGATTATAATCCCACACCATTTTATTATAATAAAAATGGGGCGGGATTATAATCATAACATGTACTAGCGAAATGATCTGGTATTGTAAAATAATTTTTTTATATGCTGCACACCGGGTGAAGGATCAGTCGTGTAACTTCTCATGTTTAAGGGAAGTCATCTAATAAGAATACGTATCGATATAAGTTAATTGTATTTTGCAATTTGCCCAATAGGAAAAAAGATAAAATAGTGTAAAAACTATTATAATATCTGGTTTTTTTTCCCCTCAACTTTGAAGGAATTGACCAATTTTGTGTGTATCATTTGATTCCTTTTGGTGAAGCTAATAGAATGGTACTAAAATTATTTGATTCTAACCAGTGGGTCGCAAGACATCGCCAGAAAAATTAAGTGTACCACAATACCCGACCCCTTAGATTTTTAACATTATTAAAAAAGACTAATGTTCTCTGTAGTAAACTTTAAAAATTTTTTGAAAACATTAATTATCCAATTGAGTTCATTTGAGAACATAATTTTAAATCTGAATTTTAAATATTGTATACTGTACAAGTAAAGGTAAATGATAGAATAAGAAAAAAACTAATTTAATTAATTCGCGGACTAATTCTAACTTTTAACTCTTGAACATTATTAGCCGCTGCAGAAACAATTTTCAATGGCTCGTGCATATTAACCAACTCAACGTGATAATATCTGTAAACTGATGCCGTCAATAAAAGTAACTCTGCCATCGCCAGTTTCCTTCCGGGGCAGATTCGTGGACCTCCACCAAAAATCATCAAAGAACTTTTATTTTCTAATATTTTATCATCATTTTGATCAACATTATAAAATCTATCTGGATTAAAAACTTCAGGATTAGACCAAATTTCAGTGTGACCATGCATTCCTTTAGCATTTAAATGAAACATTGTACCAGCAGACCATTTATATCCCGCAACTTCACACTCTTCAGTCATGTAACGAGTTATAAAATTAAATATCGGTATCATACGACTAGCTTCTTTGATTATGGCTTCACAATATTTTAGCTTTAAGAGGTCATCACTTGTTAGATAAGATTTATTAGGAGATTCAGAGAAAACAGAGTCAATTTCAGAAACCATTCTTTGTTTTACATCCGGATATTTACAAAGATAGTAGGTTATATAACAAAATGTGTTGGCAGTCTAAATATATTGTAATAAAATAAAAAATAATAATAAGTAAATAATAGGTAAATAATGAGTAAACAAATAAAGAAAATATTACTTACACTATCTGTTCCACCTGCGAACGCATCTATCAAATTACCTCTAATATCTTTATCGGTCATAGACTCAAACTTCTCACCAGTATCTTTTTTAGTGTTTGAAATGATTATGGAAGTTAGCATATCAGCTCTCATCTCTGTACCCACTGGCATTTTTTCAATCTCATTTCTTCTCTTGTTGATTATGAAATCCAATTTTTCATGCATATAATCACGGTTCTTTAAATAAGAATTTGCTTGATTTTTGAAAATTGGAACATAATGTCTCAAAAATGGGCCAACCAACATGAAGAACGCAACACCTTCGACATATTTTATTAATGCTTCGACAAATTTATATCCATCTTCGACCAGCGCATCAGGATGCTCAGACTTTACAGTACTTTGCTTGTTATAGTAGGAAGCAATTGAATACGTACGTTCACCGGTGATTATTATTGAAATAATATCATTTGCAAATGCATGAAACCATGCAGAGAAGTCAGTTTCTAGGGTCCAATTATCGTTATTATTATTATTTGAAGCACTTTGCTTTCCAAGGGACTGCCAGTATCCGTTTAATTCTTCAAATAATTTATTTGTAGACTTTAAAGCATTATTCATAAATATAGGTGCCAATAATGCCTGAGTAAAAAACTGTCTATTGTATTTCCAACTATCATAAGTTTCATTGCCAGCAATTCCATTCCCGTAAAATCCGATTTCATCTAGACCTTGCGAATATGGCAATCTCCTTAGACATGTCGAAGACATAAATTTTTCAATATATTCCGGTCGTGAGAGAATAACACATCTACGTCCATCAAACATTATTTCACAAATATCCCCATATTTTAATCGACATTTATCATAGAACAGTATTATATCGTAAGCAAGGTTATGAAGATTTCCAATAAATGGTAAAGGCAACGGACCAGGAAGTGGATTGGGGCGAGTTAAGTGTTTATAATAAAAGTCAAAAACATAGGTAGTAAAGACTATGACTAAAAAAAGAAAACAATCGTTGATACTGAGGAGTTCAAAAAATTTTTGAACAATCATTTTGTCCTTGTTAATTATATCAACTTAAAATGAATCGTTTCGTTGACTACAAATATTTGCTACTGCTGTACTGTTTCGTGTCACTTTTATAGGTTGACATATTACGTAAATGAGTAATGTATTCAGATAAACAAGCCACCGTATAAATTTTTTGGGGCGCATTTTTTGGCAATAGGGTTAGGGTTTAGGAGTAGAATTTACAATAAACAAGTATAAGCGGGTTTTGATAGGTCACCCTCATTTCACAATATTTGTGTACTGTACATCATTTTTCACTTTAAGCTTTTGAACAAAACGTAAACATTTATTGTTTTTAGAACTTTAACGTTAATGAAATAGTACTGTATATACGTAGTAGATTAGTGATTTTGCAGATCACTCCATTCCAGCGATAGTATGCAAGATTTTGTACACAGATAGTTGCTGTAAACACCTGGTACGTACGTGCATACGTACATATAACTTTAAATTGATTATTTATTTTATTTTATTTTATTTTTTTTTGCTAAGGAGAGATTCGTTCTCATTATACTTTATTAGTTATATTAAGTAATTAGTACAATTAAGTCCGTCATTTGACGTCCGGGTCCCTGGTCCCGCGGTGTTGCAGTTCCCTAATAATACTAATGACCTAACTAAATTTTTTATGTATATTGAGACTAGGGCTATGGTCAACTATCTATATCTGATATCTAAGAACTACCTTATCCGATAATCCTAAGTATCTCTAGTTTCACAATTTACCCATAACTTTAAATTGAGTTATGCGATGATACAATTGGAAACACTTTATCTCGGATCAATCCTATAGGTATTGATAGTGCAAGAGAATGATTGATTTTTTCCTGTCAATGTGACCTTTCAATTTTTATATTAGGCCGTACAAACTTAATTAATTGGTTCTCATAGCCCGGCCAGGTCAAATTCAGCTAAAAAAATTGATTATATTTACTTTCCGGGTGAAATTTTTTAAATTTTTATAAGCCGGATTGCCAGGTCATTTTTAAATTTTGTGTTATGAGAACCAAAAAGTTAACTTTATATGGTCTTACTATATATATATTTTTTTGATTTTGTATCACTAATCTTTACATTCATATTATATAAATGCACGTACAGTACATATAAATACAAGACGAAATAATTTTTACCTCGTAAGTGTTTGCAAAAAAATTTTTTTTTATTGAAGACAAGATATTGTTTTAACTCTCAGTAAACAGTCGACACGAATTTTAATTTTTTTTTAAAAAAAAATTTATTTGTAGTGAATATAGCTAGTAGTTAGAAACTTCTAATATCTGTGCTTAACTTATTTTCTGTATTCATAAGAATGTTGCTTCAATCAATCTTAAGCTCTTGTTTGACAAATTGGACTTCCATAATACTAGTATTATTGATAATTTACATAACAAACTTCTATTACAACTATTTTACACGTTCTAATCCGTTGCCAGGTCCTATACCAATTCCTATACTCGGGACGATTCATATAATTGGTATGAATCCTCTCACATGGTATAACAAAAATAAGGAAAAGGCTGGTACAATCTGGGAATTTTATATTGGTTCTGGACGAAACATAGTGATTAATCATGCACAACATATTGAAAAATTTTGCAAATCAACAAAAATCTTCTTTAAACGACTTCCCTTTCCTATATTTGAAAGAATAGGATTTAATGATGGAATACTTTATAATAATGATTATGACTCGTGGCATCGAAGAAGAAAATTAGTAAACCGTGCATTGAATGCACCAAAATTCTTACGAGGTCTCGTCTCTTGTATTCAAACCCAATTCAAAGCATCTGAAGAAAGATGGAAATTAAAAATAAAAGACGGAATTGAAATTAATTTTAGTGAATGGATAAGATATTTCTCAACTGATATTTCAACCATCCAAACCACAAAGCAACGTTCTTACTGTGTAGCTTTATTTGATACAAATGATAAATTAGTTCAATCTGATGAAATCAAAAAATCTTTAGAGTTTACTAAAGCTACAAAATTTTTTTTTCGTTCACTTGGATTTTTTGTTTTCATTCCTCCATTTATAATGGATTATGTACCAGGTTTTAGCCATTATAAGAAGCGCTGCGAACGTAATATAGATTATTTGAATGAAATTGTCAATAATATCATTAATAAAAGAAGAAAAGAACTCGAAGAAGGTGCTGAACTAGACTCAGATTTGTTAGATCATCTATTGATTGCTCATACCATAAAAGATCCTAATTCTAAAAATGATGATAATGTGAAGCCGATAACTACTAAAGAAGTTACTGTTCTTACATTTGAAATGCTCTTAGTTGGCACTGATACGGTAAGTGTTAACAATTCTTTTATATATTATATGCATATGATGGAATATAAATAATATGTACATAAATATATCTATGTCAATTTTTGTATCATTTCTATACATATCTTCATATTTATATTTAACAGACCGGCAATGCAATTAGTTTTTTATTTTATTACATTGCGAAAAATCCAAATGTTCTTGCCAAGATTCACAAAGAGATTGATGAAGTTTTTGGTCCTGATTCAAACGTTGAAATCACCTTTGAAAAACTCGAAAAGTGTCATTACATTGAAGCTACGATTAAAGAATCTTTGCGCATTATTTGCTTAGCTCCATACACTATAAGACTTTCTGATGGTATTGAAAATATTGCTGGATATAACTGGCCAAGTGGAACTAGATTTTGGATAGATCATCAAACTCTTTGTAATAATCCTGATTATTGGAATGATATAGAAACTTTTAACCCTGATAGATTTGAAAATCATGTTGGCCCATCTAAACTTTCGAATTTTCAAAAGATTTCTTATACTCCGTTCGGTGTTGGTCTCAAATCTTGTCCAGGAAAATTATTGGCTATGAATACAATGAAATCTTTAGTTGTTCTATTTTATAGAAGGTATAACATAGAATTAAAAGGTGAAAAAATAAAATATTATTATAGTGCGTTGAATCAGGTTTATGATCTAAAAATTAAGATTAGCTTAAGAGATGATTCTTTATAAATTGTATAAAATTTTAATATTTTTTGTAAAATATTTCTTTAAAAGTTAGTAATTTTATTATATATAAATTTAGCAAGTATATTTATTATATTAACGTTTCTGGTAAAGGGCTGGCATTGATTCGTATGACAAAAAACTACAACGAATGTAAAAGATTGAATCAAAAAGCAAAATACATAATATATTTGTGCCCCAAATTTGCTTTTCAGACCCCATACAAATTAAAGTTTTTTTTGAACTTTGAACGAAGATATCTCGACAACTACCAAGTAAAATTCGATAGATCTTTTTTCATTTGAATTCTATGCACTCGTAGAATTCAAATAAAAAAAAAACTTCACTGAAATTTGCCAGGTGGTTGTCGAGATATCTTCGCTCAAAGTCTTAAAAAACTCAAACCGTCTATCAAAACTCGAATTTTTTTTTTATTCTTTGAGTGAAGATATCTTGACACTCACAAAGCCAAATTCGATGAACTTTTTTTTATCTGTAGAATTCAAATAAAAAAAAAGTTTATTGAATTTGGCTTGATGATTGTCAAGATATCTTCGTTCAAATTTTTAAAAAAACTCAACGCCTATAATGCCATAGCTGTCGCAACCTCGATTTTGATTGGCTAAGAGCGACGATCAAAAATTAGGCCGGAACTACCCATAATAATAATTTTACTAATGAAATCATTGTTCCTGGACCAATTTTACCGTAATGCGGGCTTATTTTTTAAGAATTTCTATTTTTGTAATGAAAAAAATTAAAAAGTTAATTCCGGCCGGAAATTAGTAAAAAATTTTGTAATGTGGGCCAAAATTTGAAAATCCTCGATTAATATAAAAGTAATTGAACCTAGTAGGGTTGTTAAACCATAACTGACAACGTAAATTACATGTAAATTACACTATAACTTACTTAACTTACCCGGCCTATATATAAATTACAAAATAGCTTTAAAGCTAGCCGAATCACATAATAATTTTTACCAGCATTAACATCAACTGTAATGGTTAAAAATTTGATATATGACGTAGTGCTGCAAGCCAACTACCCCAGTAGCACCGACAGATTTTTACTGATCGACATAAATTGACCAATTAGATTTTAAGATTAGGTGTAACGTAAAAATCATGCGTTTTTTTAAAAATTTTAAAAAATAGCAAATAACTCAAAATTTTATATATGAAACTACTTACTGTGC